GGCTAAAAACAAAAAAAAAAAAAAAAAGAAAAAACTGATTTTTTTGCTTCGGAAAGGTCAGCAGCAGGAACCTGCTTTCTTGCCAGCACGAGGCTGGTGCTGGTGCTTAAGCAGCCTTCTCTCAATCAATACAACACTGATCACCTCATCAGATGGTGTTGAGGCAGCAGAGGGCAGGACAAAGGCCACTAGAAGGAACTATGCCTGTCACCATTGATGAACTCTCAGGCGCAAAGCTACTGGCTAAGCCTGTGCTGCCAACCTGCCCCTGCCCAAACTCTCCAGTTACCCCTTAGAAACCAAAAGCAGCCCATTCCTTGTTTAGGAGGGCTGCAGCTCCATGAATAGCTCACCTCACTGACTAGTGTGAGTCTGGAGCTCCGTTCCTTGAGCAGCTGGGCTCCTGTGGTCAGACCACCCATCTCAGTCCTCCAAGGCTCAGTCCACTGCTGAGTAGGGTCTAAGTGGACACAAGTAGTCACCAGGAAGGGCTAGCATGCCAGAGAGAGAGAAAGAGGGCATTTTACCATTGGTCAGTGGAGTCACTTTTTAAATTGTGTTATTTTTTCATAAGAGGTAAGGGTAGAGTTGAAGGAGAGAGAAATTGTGAATGTGTGTAACAGCGACTTTCAATTCTGTATACATGTGTGTCCTGCACATAGGCCATCTGGTATATGCCTTAAACCCTCAGAGGATGCACAGCTTTGACATCTTCAGCCAGCCCTAGCCATAAGGCATAGCTCACAACAGTCCACAGGCTCAAGACTGTGAGGGGCAGGAAAGGGGGACAGTGACACTTTCAAAGAATGGAGGACGCTGTTAACATGTCAGTCCAATTATGGTAATGTGCTGGGGTAATTGGCCCTCCAAGGGCGCAGGGGATGCACATGAGTACAGTAATTGCAGGTTCACTTTGCTCTGCATTCTTTATCCTGCTTTGGTGACTAATTATTAGTATTTAGCAAGTGGATATTGTCATCTTCAAAGCAGGTGCAGCTGTGGCTCAGGCGCTGGAGCTGGGGCCAGCTAAAGGTCAGCTTCTGCTTGGGGATAATTAATTTGTCTTTTATGGATCTGAAATACGCTCCAAGCTTGTCTCTTCTTTTTTGCTTCCAAATAAACAAACAAACAAAGAGAAAGAGAATATACTTTGTTGTTTATTTCAGTGCCCTTTCCATTAAAAGGCCAGAATCGACAAATAGGGGTAAATGACTGGAGGGGGTCATTTGTGTACCTTTTTTTTTAAGAGCCAGAAATTGATCCCCCAGCTTGGATCTACATGAATAGAGAAGTCAAATGGACTGGGGTGACCATCAACAGGTGAGTATAGTCTGTAAACTCTTGATATCCTGTTGGTTTGTTTATTACCACTATATTAGACACTAGGACACTCAATTCCTAAAAGGATTAATGTTCTGGAATTCTTAAAGGAGGGAGAATAATAACAGTAGATAGCTACTGAGTACATGCTATGCTCATGCACATAAAATGCTCACTTTATTTAATCCTTACAACAGACCCAGGAAATGGGTGTTGTTATTGCCCCCACTTTATAGCTGAGAAACTGAGACTCAGAATACTTTTAGAATATGTTGCTAGAGGTGGCATGGTGGTTAGGGTGCTGGACTCCGACATGGCCAACCACAGTTTGAGTCCCAGACCTGGTGGCTTGCTTTCTTACTTTCTCTCTCTTTCTCTTTCATGAGTGCATGTGCCCTATAGCAAATTTTAAATAGTAATAATAATGTTAGGTAAAATTAAAGAAATAATTATTTTTAAAAATTATATTATTCAAAGCTGAAGTAACAGAGCTGACGCTTAATCTTCAGTCTCTCAGATGCCTAACAAAACCCTTTTACTTAGCGAAATGCCATGTTAAGGTCCCTGGCCTACCAGGGCAGCCTTCACTAACTTTTCTGTATGGAGTAGCAAAAACCTAGGTGTTTTCTTATCTGCATCAGCAGATCTTTCTAGTATACTGAAGGAAACCCAAAGTTTGAATTAAACATTATTTCATGGGTATGATGCTTGATATAATTTCATCCTCTGATGACAAAATAGAAATCAGCATAGAAGAAGAAATAAGAGAACAAGTGGTCCCATCCTAAGTCCTGTATCTTTATTGTCTCCTTAATAACCTTGACCTATCATGCCTTTTCTATTTCAGCTGCCTTGTCCCCACTAGGATATTGGTGCAGTTAGAGTACCATTCATTTTTACAACTTGTTTTGCTTTACTTTCTAATAATTTCATATTCACTTGTCTCTCCAACAAGGATCCAAGCACATCTAGGTCAGGGAACTGGCCATATGTGCTTTTGGCTCTATCTTGGACATACAGGAAGTGTCCAGGAACTCCTGATTGAATTAAGTTGGGATGGGATGGACTGGCTACTTCTCTGATAGTTGGGTTGGCAAAGGAAGAGCCTTCATTTTATGTTGGCTGGACAAATACAAAATAATTTAGGAACGGCAAATCTGACCCTCTCACAAGTATTTATTTTTGATTTCAGAAAAATGTATTAATGATTTTAGAAGATTTTTATGATCCATGGACATTACAGAATGGAATTGCATTCATATCGTATCATTCTAAGGAGTGGTTGGTAAGGTGAAAGAAGCGAGTACACAGGAGGGACTTGTAGGACATGGAAGTAGATGCTTTAGGACTTCAGATTTGTGTCCAGGGCTTTCAGCTATGACAGGGCAACAAAATTTTATCCTGTGGTTTTGCTGCAGCCTACATATTGATGCAGCCAAATGAATTCTCCTCTTTGCAACCTGACCTCTTTCTTACTGTGAAATGATCTCATTTCAAGGCTAACCACAAGAGGTTTGGCTGGGCACCCGGCATGCCGTGTGCCTGGCATTTGCAAATCTTCATGCAAAGTGCAATTTTTTTTTAAAGACAGTAAATAATCCTGTCCAGAGAAATCTTGGAAAGGTCTGCTCCCAGCCATGAGGTGAAAAGAAAAGCAATCGCTCTCCCCACCCTCATAGCCATTATCTGCCGCTCTTCTCGAATGCTAAGGTTTAAGTCGCTTTTAATTTTAGATCAGGAACAATCTGATTTGGGGCCAAGGTCTTTTTTCACTGTCCTTCAAAATGTATTAAACTGTGGTGTTTTTCCACCTCCAGCCTGCTCTGTTTCAGTTCCTTGAGTGCCCAAAGCTGAGGTTCCACCAAGAATTCAACCTACAGCTAGGATGCTCTGAGACTACACTCTGCAGAGAGCATCCCCCACTGCCTACAATAGGAAGCTCAGCAAGAATGAGAGAGAGAGAGGGAGAGAGGGAGAGAGAAGCATCTGCCCAAGGTTGGGGTGTATTCTTCACCTTTTTGGAAGAGTGTGGTAATGACCACTCAAACAAATGACCAGAGACCAAGCCAGTAGGCAGAGTTCCCAAAAGCTCAGGCCATAGCTGCACACTCTGTGCCCTCTCTCCCAATCCTTACTACTATCACAGAAAATAATGGGCCCTGTTGCAGACCAGGCTATCCTTGGTCAGTTCCATCTTGCCCTCAATCTTCTATGCTATTGGTGGACTAGAAAGCATGCAGGACATTACTCTCAAGCAGAGGGACCAGGCATGGGGTAGATGCTGATGTCTGGACCTCACTTTTGTTTTTATAGACAAAAGCCCTACTGCCAGCTCAGCCCAGTTTGTGAAGTCTTGAAACTGTTTCCTGGGGTATTCTGCTCCCAGCTTGAATCTCCATCCAGGATAAGATGTGTAGATACGATGAGGGCTAAGACACAGAGGACCCCGTTTCCCTAAGTTAATTCTACCTTACTGTAGATATCAACATTTAATCTATTTGGCAGGCCATCAAGTCTTTGAGTTTGTTCCTTCAAGGTTTTTGTTTTTGTTTTTCATATTAATGGGCAGTTCTGACCCTAGACACCCCCTCAACTGCACTTCCTATGTCAGGCCCTAAGATAGGACCAAGGAAGGGCTCCTGTTCAATGTTCAATCTTGGTCTGTCACATTGATTAGAGTTTCCTGATTATAAAAATATCTCTGGAGCAAAATGTCTAAAAGATAGGGGGAAACTTGTTGCAGTCCTGATACTCCCATCAGCATATTCTCTCTCCTGGCCTCTGACACAAGGAATGTGTTATAGACATGTAAGAGTATGGGGTAAAAGTTAACAGGGAGATCATGGAAATAGGAATAATTGAACTCTACGGCACTGCTGGACCCCTTGGGAGCCTAAGCTCTAAAGAGTTTAGGGAAGTGATAAAATGTTCCATGTTTTTCACTTCCCCAGACACAGCCCTTCTTGTGAATACCTGACAAAGTTGTTGGTGAACAGGCACATCCAGTGTGTAGTCAGATGGACTGGCAAGGTGCAGGAGAACAGTACCATAAACAGCTGATGGAATGGCCTCCAGTTACAGAAGAAGTGTATCCCTCTCTAGCACCCCAGCCTGGTACCACGCTGCCTGCCATGGGGAAGAATCAGCCTTTACAAAGAATGTCTCTCAGTTGTACTAATGAAATAGTACAACCAAACCCAACTGAATGCTGTTTGGGTGAAGGTGGGAGTGGTCAGATTGGGATTGATCTGGCAAAGGAATTACTCTCCTAAACATCTGATCATATTTGTATTTAACTCAAACGCAAGAGAGTCTTTCAAACAAAAACTTCAGTAACTTCCTATTGCAAAGAGGTGATTTAATATTCAAACCACAGGAGACCCTTGCTCTGGTCCTTAGTGCATGCCTCTAGCCCGCTCCCCACGAAGACATTGTTGGAAGGGAAATAGGTGATAATTCTCAATCTTGATCCTCATTCGAACTGACATGCCATCCCACGTATGCCCCTTCCTCTTTTCCCTTATCAAACTTCATTACACTCAACACAGAGTAGTGGAAAGGGCACAGGGACAAAAAAAAAAAAAAAGTGGAAAATTGTGTTCACTCTATCTCCAAAAAGCTGACTGAAGTCAATTTGCTCCATTTTTCTGGGTTAGAGTTCTTTCTGTTTTATGGTTCTGTGATTTCAAGATTCTGTACCTAAATCTTAATAGCTGGCTCAACTTCAGCCAATCTTCCACTTTCTAAAAGTCTTCTCTAGAAAAATGTCTAGAAATTTTTGGATAGGACACCTTAAATGCTAATATGGTTGTTGGGAACAAACTAGAAGATCTTTCCGAGGTCACAGAGCTCTTTCCAGGGATGTAGTCTAACGAATCTTTGGGCTCTTCTTTCCTTCTGTGCCTTAGCCCACCCTCTCCTTTCTTAAGTTAGAACTTCCAAAGTCCTCATGATATACTCTTTACACTCTCTACCTTTTGACTTTGATTTATTCAACAAATATTTATGGAGTGCCTGTGTGTAGTAAGTTTATGTAGTAGTCAGAAATTACTGCAATGATGCTACACATAAGAAGCCATCCCAAAATAATAGTGGCCATCAACAACAACAATTTATGTTTCTTGTTCACAGAGCTACAGGGTGGTGTGGATACCACTTCTTCAAGTGTTTAGGAGTAAGTTCAGGTCTGCTTCACAGATCGTTTCAGTTTCTAGGAAGAAGAAACAACAGTTATGTAGGGAAGATCTTCTCCTGGGAGAGAGAAATCAAACCATACCACACAAGTACGTTCAAAGCCCCTGGTCACACACAGTGTATTTCCTTAGTGTTAGTCAGAACAAGGACCAAGTTGAAAATCAGCCAAGTAGGGAAGAATACTTCACTCACAGTTGAGTCATAAAAGTGCAAGAAAAGGAGGAATATTGAACACATATTACAATGTAATGTAGAGCAATCTCTGTTTTCATAAAGGTCACATTCTGATATGAGACACAGATGATAAACACACAACAAGCAAATTTATATATAAAAACTGAGACAAGTGGAATAAAGAAAATGAATACTATGAGGGACTATTTTTAGATTGGGTGGGCTAAGAAGTGCTTTCTGAGGCAGTGCCATTTAAATTGAGAATGAAAAGAAGTGGGGTGTGCAAATAGAGGACAATGAGCTTCCCAGTCCGTGGGAGTGCAAAGGCCCTGTGCAAAGGCCCCGAGGAAGTGATAATGTTGGTGTGTTTGAAAGACTGGAGTAATCCAGCGTGACCTGAGTGTAGGAAGAGAGGATGAAACAGTGTGAGCTAAGAGTAAAGATCTGAGCGACGAGCTGAGAGTCAGAGTCTGTACAGGCTCTGACTGTTGCTGTTCTTCCTCAAACCTATCAACTCTTGCTTTTCCATTTATTCAATGCTGCAGAAAATGAAACAAAACACAGCACACGTCTCCTTCTTGAAGCCTCCTTAGGTTGATCTGTGTGCTGAGATCACTTTGTATCTCACTAAACAAAAACAAAACAAAGCACAAAACCCGTGACTGTGTGTTGCAGAGGCTTATCTTGGACCAGGATTTGGATAGTCTGGGGAACTTGCAGAGGCTCCTGCTTTCAACAGATGAAAACTGGAGGAGTCTCCTGGCTAATAATCATTCTCCAGGGAGACAGAGCCAGGCCTGACAGGTGGCTCCTGACAAAGTTATGAGAAGGTAGGTTTCTGAATACAGCTTTTCAGTTAGCCCTCAAGTCTTCTCTGGTAAAGGGAACTTTCTGGAATAATAAAAATGATCTCTCTTGATGAGAGTGGTGTCACATGGTTTGTCATCTCTTAAGACTCATAAAACTACATAGCTAAAACACTTACATTTCATTTTAGGCAGACTATCCCTTGAGAAAGTTGATTTTAAAGATAAAAAATAAAGCAAAACAAAGATCAAATAATAAACAGAAAACAACAAAGTAAAAACCTGACATTGACCTACCTCCCTGTTTTCCTGCAGAGATGACAGTAAATTAAAAAAAGAAAAAAAAAAACAAAAACTTTCCATGTAGTCTAAGATACTAGAGCACAAACAGTTTTCTCTACACTGAGATGTTTTTAACAGGAACATGAAAGGGAAAGGAGATGTTCTCTCCCACCTTGCCACAGAGCACTGGGTTGCTTTGAGACCTTGAGCACTCCAGCGTGTTGGTGGTACTACAGTGACAGGGTGAGGGCTGGGGCACTGCAGAGACTGGATGCTACCCTAGTGGGGTAACAGACATCCTGCCTAGTGACATCAAACAGTGTGGACATGGCATGGTGGCAAGGGTGTGTGCTGGCCCAGGAAAGCTAGTGTGCCCCAACAGAAATATAGTGCTGGGGCTAGCTCAGGACACAGAGGTAATGACTGCTGAAGCAAGGCTGGATCCCTATGGGAGATCATGGGTTTGGTTCCTGGTTGACTTGTACACACATGATCCTAGCTGGCTTGCTAGGAAGGCTGGGATGATCATAGTGTGATCGTAGCATGACCTTGTTGACAGAGCTTCTTTCTTTCTCTCTATCTCTCCCCCTCTGTCTGTCTCTCACTCTCATGAGAAAAATTCAAAAAGAGAAAGATACATGATGCCAGCTACAAATGCAAGCTGAGATGCAATTTTAATTTTTCTTGTAGCCATATTGATAAAAGTAAAATAGAGAAAAGAAGTTGAAATTAATTAACTCAGGATCCAAAATATTATCATGTCAATATATAATCAATACGAAAAAGATAGAATGAAGATACTTTACATTTTTTTGTACTAGGTCTGTGACATCCGGTGAGCATTTTATAATAAGCATGCTTCAATTCAGATTAGCTGCATTTCAAGTGCCCAATAGCCACATGCAGCTCTTGGCTATTGTCCTGAGCAGCACAGGACTGTGGGGAACAGCAACACCTGTGACCAAATTGTATGTGAGGGTTGTTCCCATCCCACTCCATCCAAGGTAAAACCCAGCAACCCTGAAGGTTTCCAGCCATCCCAGGGAATAGGGAGTCCACAAGGGCCAATGTCCTGGATGGGCAGGTGATGGTGAGGATTTGAGAAATAAAACTATTACCATGAAGAGAAAGTCATGGGTTGGGAGATTCAGACAGTTCAGGTTACATATGTATTTTTAAACTTGTGTTTTAGTGTAAGTCTAAATGTTCTTTTAACTCTGAGCATCACAGAAAAATAAATCAGTTGTATCTTGTCAACCCTCTTGCTCTTTGTGCTTCTGTTTACCTGCAGTATGCATGCTACATTTCAGGACCTTATTTTCATGTGAGCCACTTATAATTCTGTCTTACTCCATCTTGTTTATTCCCTTCATCCCAATCCAATAGCAGAGTAGAATATTTTAAAGCTTAATTTTGGTAATTTGTATAATAAAAACAATTGGCATGCTGAACCAATGTTTCTAATTGCACATTCCCTCTCTTTCCCCTTTTGGTCCCTCCCCCTCCCGCTTTGTCATGAATAAGTTTCACAAGGTTGAGAATCACTTGTACCACCAAATAAGCAGGTTCATTGCCCAACATACATGAAGCCAATTATTACACCACTGGGTTTTGAAGTAAGAAAGACTTTTATTGCACAGCCTGCTAAAAAGGAGGCAGAAGAAAACTTTAAATCTTAAACCTGCCCTCTCTCACTCCCAATGTAGAAAAGTGGTTTTTTTTTTTTTTTTTTTTTTAGTTAGTTAATTAGTTAGTTCATTTTGTCATGAGGCATATGCACTTGCCAGAGAGAGAGAAAGTGAGAAAGCACTCCCCCCAGGGGAGCATTTTCCTCTTGGGACTTTGTGTACTCACATATACATTCTGACATGTTTTTCAAGCCACCAGGTCTTGAACTGTGTAGTCGGCCATATTCTCTGGCTGGCCCAAAAAGTGGGGTCTTTTATAGAGACCTACCCAACTCTTCATTTAGGTCCTTTATGCAAACAAAAGATTCTTACTGGCACTTTCTTGATTGGTTGATTCATGTCACAGTCCTTGTGGTTCATTAAACTTTCTCTGCTAATGAAGGATTGAAACTTGTTTAGTTCTGATTGGCCATCATAGTGCAGGCAGCATTTTTACTTCCTCCCTGGGGATCATGGCGTGATGACACACTCTCTCCCTTTTCTCTTAGGCCAGTTCCAGTTGGTTATACTTGCAAAATCAGTAAGTAGTGTTTTACATGTTAACAGGGATTTAAACAGTCACAGGTTAGCACTCAGGGCCTGTTAAATGAATTAATACATCTACAAATCTTTGAATCTGCCCTAGCACAGAGAAAGGATTCAAAAGATATCAGCTACCAGTTAAGATTTCTAGAATCTTAGAAATCAAGCAATTCAGTTCAACAGGTATTTTCTGGGCACTTGCTTAGACATGTATTAGGTACTGTTCTAGGTACATGGGAACAAAAGAGAACAAAATAAACACCCATCCCCAGAGAGTGAGCATCCTATTTAGACAGTGGATAGCAAACATACATATGTAGATTTTATAGAATATTTGAAGGTGATTAAGTGCAGTGATTAAAAAGAAGGTAAAGTAGTTAAGAGGATTGGTAGTATAGAGTGAAGACACCTATTAAATAGGGTGTCTATAATAGTCCCAATTGAGAGGATGTGATATCTTTTTTTTTTTTGGAGAGATTTTTGCTATAGGGCACGTGCACTCGCCAGCCAGACAGAGAGAGACAGAGAGACAGAAGGCAAGAAATCACCTCCCAGGGGGACAGGCCACGCCGCAATTCCTTCTCCTCCATTCTCCTCTCAGGATCTTGGGCACGCACGCACATGCGCCCGGCGTGAGTTTTAAGCCACCAGGTCTGGGACACGAACCGAGGTCAACTACATGGGAGTTCAGCAACATAGTCATTACACTAACTGCTGGTCCCAAGATGTGATATCGTCAGACTTGAGGGAAGTCAAAAACTTTATGAAGTGAAACAGCCAGTAGAAAGATGCTAATGCAGGAGCATCTGATGTAATAGTGTCTTAGTCCATTTGGACTGCTATAATAAAATATCATAGACTAGCTAGCTTATGAACAACAGTTCTGAAGGCTGGAAAGTCCAAGATCTAGGCCTCAGCAAATCCAGAAATTTGGTGAGATCCCACTTCCTAGACCATTTTTTTGCTGTGTTCTCACACAGTCAAAGGAACAAAGGAACTTTCTGGGGACTCTTTTATAAGAACATTGATCTTATTCCTTAGGGCTCTGAGCTCATGACCTAATCAACTTCCAAATGCCCCACCTCCAAATACCATCCCACTGGAAATTATATTTAACATTCAGTGGGGGAGCACCAACATTCCATCTATAGCAAATAGCAAAAGGGCTGATGTAGAGGGAGCCCAGAGGGTGAGGATGAGAGTTAAGAGGAGGAAATAGAAAGGAAATAGAAATAGAAGAGGAAATCAAAAATTAACAAAGAGGGAATAACAAGGGTAAATGGCAGATTCCCGAGGACCTTCAGGCTGATATGAAGACTTTAGCTTACATTCTTAAGAATTAAGAGAAATTTCAGGGCTTGAGGTTAAGAAGTGCCAGAAGCAGACCTCCATTTTAAATAGTTCATTTAAATAGATCAGTTGCTCTATTGAATAGACTATGGGAGGTGGGAGCAGAGAGACCAAGGAGAAGGTTACTGCAGTAATTCAGGCAGAACATGATGTAACTTTTCTCTCTCAGGAAGAAAGCAATGGAGTGGCAAGAGGCAGGATCCCCATCACTGACCTGAGAATCCACTTACCATGTCTGCATGTCCCAATGTGTTAGAACTGCCCATCAGGCAAACAATGGTATTTCCAACTTCTTTGAAACCTTCTTGGTGATGCATATTGGACATTGAGTTGATATCTAAACCAAATTTGAAATGATGCTATAAGAAAATATCATCAAAAAAGTATTGATTGTATTCAAATTACCAGCAAAATGCACACATATCCAAATAGATCTGTAACAGAAGTTTCATGAAGAAGGTGGAAACTGTGGAGAAAAGGAAATCACAGGTTCCCAGCAGAATGAGAGTTTCAGAAGAGGAAGAGAAAAATCCGGGGACTTGATTCAGATGTGTATTCCATCTACCCAGAAGAGAGTAATCTGCCATGTCTGAGAAGAGCCTTGGGTTAATACAGAAAATTGAGTGGAAAGTATAATCTTGGGCCTAGTCTGGAGTGAAAAGCTCAGAAATATGACTAAGAGGGCCAGACGGTGCACAGTGGTAATGCAATGTTTTGTGAGGCTGACACTCATCGGAAGGTTCTAGGTGTGTGTCTGAAGAGCTCCCTAAGTACACCAACTGTGATGTAACTATGGTGGGCTGACCGAAGCTGGAGGTAAACCATAATAAGAAGAACCCGTTGGGGGTGTTTCTCTCTCTCTCTCATTCTGTGTGTGTCTCTGGGTGGTGTAGTGGTTAAGGTGCTGGACTCCCACATGGCCAACCATTTGAGTCCCAGATCTGGCAGCTTGAAATTCACACTGGGCTGGGTGCATGTGCATGTCCAAAATCCCAAAAGGAAAATGGAGGATAAGGGATTGCAGTATGGCCAATCCCTGAAAGATGATTTCTTGCCTTCTGTCCCTCTGTCTCTCACGGTTTCTCTGGTGACCACACATGCCCTACAGCAAAAAGCTCTTTTTCTAAATAAATAAATAAATAAATAAATAAATAAATAAATAAATAACACCAAGGGGAAGAAATCAGGTTAGATTAAAATACACAGTGAAGGGTTAATAAAGGTACTAAACTGTACATAAATGGCACTTTTCGAGTTTACTTTCTAAAATGCTGTCTCTCATTTCTTAATGTTCTTGTTAAGCTTTTTAAAAATTTTTCAAGAGGGGATTTTATTTTGGGGAGAGAAGGGAAAAAAGCGATTGTGGCATAACAAAAAGAGCATATATTGGCATCATAGTTTCTGAACTTCTAGCCCCATTCTGTCACTTGTGTGACCCTCAAAGAAGTCACTTCAACTTTCTGGGCCTCAGTTTTCTTTTCTGGGAAATGAGAGCATGAGGTTAAATGGCTTCTTCTGACTCTAAAATTATGTGTATTTAAATATCTTTTTTATTTCTTTCTAGTCTTTTTCCTGAAATCTTGTCTTTTATCTCCATTGGATATCTTATGAGGATCTTAAACCTAACTCGTTCCCAAACTAGCTCCTAAACCTATAACATGACAATCAGTTGCTCGTTCAGACCAGGCGGGGGATCAAATACAGACTCTAGTCACCTCTCACAACTTGGGGTGAGCCTTGGCCTTGAAATGGTGTCTGTCTCTCTTTATTGGGTTGTTGGGAAAGTCACAATGCATTTTTGCATAGAGAAACAGAAAAATACGTCATGACTTTTCCAATGACACAATATAAATTTGATAAAAATGTATGACTCCATGGAGGGGCCTCATCATGTCTCCAATTGAACATTATAAATTTCATATTCTTTCCACTCTTCCTAGCCAAACACACACACACATGTTGGACCCAACTATGAGCACAGATTAGGAAAGTCTTTGTCTTCTGCCTGGTGACATTACAATCTAATGGGGAAAACAGATAGTAAACAACAGCCAGGAATGATTTATTATAACATTTTGAGCATGCAAAGTGCTGCAAAAAGAAATACCCTGAACTACAGAAGCGTTCAATAGAGGAACCTAATTTAGTCCCCCAGGCTGAAGATATGGTATTTAAATTGACCCCCTCAAGGATGAGGTGCATTAGATGGAGAGGAGAATATTCTGGACCAAGGAAACAGCTGCGAAGAGGGGAGAATAGGCGTCTCATGGTACTGTGCTTACCTGAGATTCCTGATGGCAACTGGGATTTAGAGAGAGAAAGGTACTCCTGCATTTGTTCATACATTCATATCCATTATGTACCTGTTATATGCTGGGATACAGCCGTGACAAGCAGACCTCCACCTCATTCCCCTCTGTGCTCCCAAAAAATCTACCCTAAAGAATTTATATTCTTGTGAAGAAGGCAGACAATTTTTAAGTAAAGCATGATGGTAATAAATATGGAAAAGAAAAGGCAGGAAATGAACATAAGGTTTGCCAGTTCTGGGGGTAGAGGGAGCAACATCATATGAGGTGGTCAGGGAAGGCTTTAGTGAAAGGCCTAAAAGAATTGATTGAGTGGGCCTTACCAAATGGGGGCGGGGATGGGGGAAGAAGGAGAGGCGGGTGGGGGGAGCATTCCCTGAAGAGGGAACACCAATTGCAAAGTTCGGAGCGCAGTGTGAGAAAAAGAAAAAAAGCCAGTGCAACCAAAACACAGCAAGCAGGGGGGAAAGGGCAAGCAGATAAAGCCATGTAGGTTAGGGGGCCAGGTTTTATGTGACCCCGAGGGCCATATAGAGTCATGGGCTTTTCCCTGAATGAAGATTTTGAGCAGGAAAGAGCATGATCAGCGTTCATTTCTGCCTGACTGTTGAGAATTAACTGTAGGGACTGATACAAGAGTGAAATGAGCAAGATCAAGTAAGAGACTGGGGACTTGGACTAAGACGGAGGGCTGGTGCAGTGGCAAGCACTGGGCTCTGGAGACACAGTATTTTGAAGGTAAGGCCAATAAGAGAGACTGGATGTGTAATATGAGAGCAAGAGGAGGCAAAGAGGTTTTCTAGGCTTGACTCTCTGACCAAATGGAGTTACCACTTATTGAGATGAGAAAGGAAGTAGGAGAAGCAGGTTTAGAGGGAGAAATCAGGACCTTGGGACATGATAAGTGTGAGATCTCCCTTAGGCATGCAGTGGAGACAAGCAATCAGAGAGTTCAGGGAAGAGGTCTGGATATTTAGGGCCAGAAGACTAGATGAGATCAGCTATCAAGTGAGGGTATGGGAACAAGAGGGAGGCCCTGAAGCCCTTCCATGCTGAGCAAGAGCCTGCAAAGGAAAACTTCAAAGGGAGCAGTGATCAAAGCTACCTTGAGTGGACCAACTTTGTTCTTACCAGATCTTTCCCCTCCCCTCCCTCAATGCCCACCTCCTCTACACCCAGTGCCTGCCATGTGACACACAGATTCACATACACTCATTGCCATTTCCTGTCTCCTATGGGCTCTGAGCCCTTGAGAAAAGCTGGAAGAGCATGGAGTGTTTTTCCTAACCACACAGAATGAGGTGCAGTCTTGGGCAGGGGCAGAAAAGCTATCTTCCTGGAGATCGGCCCGCTGCAATGTCATTTTCATATCCCTTTCCTATTGTTAATTCTACTGATCACTGATAGCACTGCTATGCCCATGGAAGATTTATAGAGAACGGATTTTCTATATGAATTCATAACAATGTGAACTTGAAAAATAGAGTTTGATTTTGAATACTAGAAAAATTACAGAACATTTGCATCAAAAGAACGAATCATCTCATCCATCCCCTGTCATCCTCTGGAGTCACCTGAGCCTGTTTCAGGTGACTGGATTGCTGCCTATATTGTTCCTGGGATCTTAAGAAGAGGTCACACGGGGACCAGCAGTTAGCGTAATGCCTATATCACTGGACTCCCAAGTAGTTGACTGCGGTTCTCATCCCAGACCCAGTGGCTTAAAACTCATGCCGGGCACATGTGCATGTGTGCCCAAGATCCCAAGAGGAGAATGGAGAAGGGATTACGGCATGGCCATCCTCCCTGGGGGGATGATTTATCACTTTCTGTCTCTCTGTCTCTCTCTGTCTGTCTGGCAAGCGCACGTGCCCTACAGCAAAAACCTCTCCAAAAAAAAAAGAAGAGGTCACACAAGATAGGTGACCCTGATCATGTGCCATGTACCAGCCTTCAGACAGAGCTGTAACTATCTTCACTTTTTTTTTTTTCTTCACTTTCATGCAGCTCTTCCTGGTCTTTTAACTAAGGTTCTCTTGCTATGGGTTAAGGCCAAGCTCTCTTCCCTTGTCCTCTAATAAAAAGAGCCTATTGGATGATGACCGGCTGTTGTCACCCTGCTATCAGGCAGGATGGCCATTCATAGTGCAGCATCGTACTGAACATCACAAGCTGTCCTATGTCCTAGTGTCTTTAGGGTCGAGAACTCCCACAAAGCAAACAGGTTAAAAGGCTACTGGCAATTTTGTCCTCAGTGGTCTGACTTGCTGACGTGGCAAGGATTGCTTAGTGTAATAGCCAGTGGAGACATTCCTTAAGAAAGTTGTCAAAGACTAGGAAGGAGAGTGGACCCCTTCAGAAGCCATGAGTACACGTGCCCCAAAGGAACCCCGGGAATGAAGAGACTAAATTAACACAATCTACTTAGACGAAAGTCAAAGCAAAAATACATATCCAGGGAAAGCTAACTCCAGCATCTTCTCATTCCGATGTTCCGTTCGAGTCCCATTTTGTACAGCCACTATATGTCTAAAAAGCAAGGGATTTGGAAGCAGAGAACAGCTGACAGAGGTGTCAATAAGCCAATTTGTGGCTTGTTAGAGTGTTACACTTGTTTATCGGCATTTAACGAGACAAGACATTGATGTTAACACAGTGGGAGGGAAGTTGCCTGGACCAATAGTATCCCTTGCTGAAAATTAATTTAAACCCTCTTTTCTTTGTGCCAGAACCAGTAGAGCTAATTCATTACCGAAGTGTTGAAATGCCACTGAAAATGAGTTAGGGTAATAGGGGAAAGTCATCGGCAGCCAAACAAAATCCCAATTTAGCTCTCTTTTGGTAACCTCTAGTAAATGAGACACGGTGACATAATACGCTTTATGGTAGAGAACAAAACTGCAAGTGTATATTTAATTTGGGGGGATAGAAGAGCTAGGAAGGAACATTGTCTCACACAGATTTTTAGGAAAACCATCACAGCTGTTGTCACCACGGTGGAGTTCACAGTCATTCCGTATTGATGAAA